ACCTTACCTTAAACGTCAATATGTGACGAGTTGGGAGTGAGAATGTGTAGACCCTCTACACACCCAAAATGAGCGTAAGCATGGGTCAAAGCTGGCGTGAGGCACCGCACATTTTCACGTCAAGTTTGGATTTTATAAATCACAACCTTGGCGTAAAAAGTGGCGTACGCAAGTTTCTGGGCTCAAATTGTGCGTACGCCAGTTTTATAAATCCGACCCCTGGTCATTCAGTAAATTCAGGTAGTCAGCTGTCCACATTCTTTGAGCACAGACTGTTGCTGAACCTAKACACCTGACCAACTGCAGAAACTCCACATCATAGCACTCCACATGGTTGTTTAAGAAAGGAGAAGCAACTCATTGCACCAGGTGGGGTTAAATAACTTGTTGCCAGCTGAAMGATAATTGCTCATGCAGTAATTACACAATAGGAGGTTCGTACCTATTTGCTTAGTTAAATGCAGGTAGMAACTTTTTTTTGTCCAGGCAGTGTRTTTTTGGTCTGTGGGGGAAACTGGAGTACCCAGAGAAAACCCACGCAAGCACAARGAGAAAATGCAAACTCCACACAGAAAGACCCCAGGTCCAAACCGGGGATTGGATCCAGGACCTTCTTGCTGTGYGGYGACAGTTCTAACTACAACACGCTGCCAGAAACACTCCGTTTAATGAACTCTTATTACCAATAGTGAGATGGAATGTACTCTTAACTTGTTAGTTCAGTGATAATACAATTTAAAGTACATGTTCCCCAAARTATTAAATAGGCATTGAGTAAATACTAAGTATGTATCCACTGTGGTTACACTGTATTTACTTGGTACATTTACCTGATTGTACCCAGTATACYTATATCCAGGAAGTACTGGGCTGTATTATGTGTTGCTGCCACATGAAAACAATAAACTGACGTCACAAGGAAACAGAAAATAAACAAAAAATAAAACCGCAAACACACAATGTGTAAGAAAAGTGTAAGAAGCTATAAAAGATGTAGAGAATGTTTTTTAACGGATTGTGAGTATTTTGAGAAGGAATTTGGGAAGAAAGTCTTTGTTSTGAGAAAATATGTCAGATTCATTTTAGATTTTTTTTCTTCAACAGGTTCCTCCAGTAGAGCTGGAAACATGGGTGGTGCAGCAGGAGACAGACCCTCCAGCCGGGGAACTTCCACACTGGCCCTCCTGGCAGGAGAGTGAAAGGACAGAGGAGGACAGAAACCAGGCTGGACTGGGCGATCCAGAGAGAGCTGAGGATGAAGAGGTGCACTTTCTTTTACTACACAGTATCAGATACAGAACAGACTTAAATGTGTGTTAAAGTTGGAGGTAATTCAGTGAAGGTACAAAGGTTGACACATATTTAAAATCKTTAATCAGCAGTTTATTGTAAACCTTGACCCTTTGAGATCTAGAGCAAAGACAAGTGTTATTAAACAGATTGTACAACTTGTGCAACAACTATCAACCATTTTAATTAAAACAAAGATTTTAACAAACTACAGACTAAAAAAGGATTTGCCCCTAACAATAATATGACTTGCAACTCCAACATACATCAACATTCTTTTATAAATTCTAGTTAGAGATTGATCATTACAGGTTTTTTAAGGCTGATACAAATGATTTTGACCTCAGTCTAACCGATCCCCGATATGTGCTGCCRATTTTTTTTGCCAATTCTTTAATCCGATATTGCTATTTCTTCTCTCATTAGCATGACAGAAATGACACAATGATAACAAATGTTAGTTAAGTCTCAATTGAAACTAAAAAGAAACATTTATTCACAAAACAAAACATATTAACAATGGATAGCAAACGATGTAGAATATTTAAATAAATAACAATAAAAACAAACTATMTTAAAGTAACATTGTTTTTCTGGTATTGGCGGAGGCAGGCACCTATCGGTTAATGCCGATACAAGAAAAAAAACACAAATATCGACTGGCAGATCTCTAATTCTAGTAGTAATTTGGGATTTACTTTTGCAATGAAAGTAAAGGAACTAAACATCATCCACCACTTTGCATGCCAATGTTTGAAACAAAGACTTGATTGAATTATTGATTGATTGAAATATATGTTGGAAACATCTCTCAGCTACTGCCACACACAATCTGAGCTCATTGTAAAATAACAGAGTGTTGGTCATTTTTTGTTTTTATTAAGATCACTTGGTGGCCATTTGGAATCTGGTTGACTCCAAAGTCTAATCAGTTGTAGAATGATTTCTTTACAAGAGTTTTAATCAGATATACAGTATTCAGTGGTGCATGACATGGTTTGTTTGAACACTTTAACACATGCACGCACGCACGCACACACACATACTTGTAAAAACATGATCATCCACTTTTGCTTTTCTCCTTTTCAAGACTGAAACAGTCACAGTCTGAAAACTGTCAGTAGTATTGAGACATTCCTGGACTGGAAGTAACAGAAGCTTTGGTCACATGTCAATTTATATGTTTAATTAAATGTAGGAGATATGAAAGGTAAAATGACTCTTCACTTCCTGCTTAATTTATTTATCTTTGTCTGAAAGACTTGGATTGAATACACCTCTAGTTTACAAAAGAAAGAAGTCTAAACAGCAACATAGAAGAAGTCAGAGAGAGTTTGGAGTTTGGAGCTGAGAAAAAAAAAACCATATGTTCCAAAGCAGAAGTGTACAGACTGTGAGAATAAGAAAAGTTTGTTTGCAAAAAAAGTAAAAATAAAATAAAAATCTGGAAAGTTTAGACAGCTGAAAAAATGACATCTTCACACTTTAAGTCAAACATTATGTGGTAAAATTTGTTAAAATTAAAAAACTTAAACTGGGAATGTGTAAAGAGAAACAGTAAAAATGTCAAAAATGCCAGTTCAGACCAGTATAATCCAACTTTCTGTGATCTGCTGCTGTGAAAGTGTTTTAAAGAGGGATGGAATCTATTTTGTCAAACTTTCCTTGTTGGCTATGAGAAGTTTTTTTTTCTATAAAATCCAAATTTTTTTCTAATAATATGACATTGCTATAATACATTATTCCCAGTTAGGACATGTTTTATTGTATTTTGGTATAGATATTTTTAAATAGCAAACTGAACATTGTGATGGAAAGAGAAAACTAATGAGTAATGAATGCGTATTTGTCGATACCCTTAAAAATTCTTTGTAAGGCTTTAAAAACAAATGGCTGAGACAAACGCCCAACAGCTTTCCAGCCAGCATCAATGCTGCATGGTGATAGCAGCAACATGGAACCAATCACTTTCTAAAAACTCCAAACTATTTGCAGGTAAAGTCAAATTAGAAGGAATTATAAGGATAAAATAGTTGTAAATCTGTAAAGTTTTATTGTGTGAACTGATCTAATTGGTCTTTTTCACAAGAAGAGTTGGGTAGAATAATTAATGCAGAATAACTAGTTTCTATGTTGCTTCATTGGTTTACAAAAATGACTAGACTTGTATCAATATTTTTAAGAACTGTTTTTTGTTAACTCCCATGATTTTCTGCATGAGAAAAAGCTGACAAATACACTTGGAAACTTAAATACACTTGTATTTTCTGAAGCCTGTCTATGGTAAATGGACTGAACTTATAAAGCACTTTATCAAGTCCCGTAAAACTCCTAAGCACGTTACACGTTAATTCAGACATTTACTTAAAGTAAACATAAAGTCAATGTGTTGTATTCACTCAATTCAGTTGAATAGAACAAGTTGACATATTTTTTTAATTAAATCCATTATGTCTATTTTTTAAGTGAATGTTTTCCTGATAGAAACTTTCTTTCTTCACWTTCTGTTAACACAATATGCTGTCCTCCAGTAAAAAGTCTTGGGGTAAGAAGAGTTTTTTTAATTTTCCTGTAGCTTTTTTAGTGTGGTGTATTTTTGAGCAGAAAGTGTGTTAAATGTCAAGTGGAATTTTTCATGTAAACATGCACAGAGACCGAAAGTATGAGTTTATGGTAAAAAGTAAAATTGGAACCATTGTGGTGCATTTAATGTCTTGACAGTTTTACGTTTTGTTAAACCAGACTAAAGTAGAAAAAGCCCTGTTCTGTCGAACTTTTCCACATGATAACCCTTTTGACTCAAAGCTGGTTATGTAAAAATACATAGAATGAAATATATTTTTATTACTTGTCATTATTTTTTGTGGTGTGAACTTGGGTGGAGGTTTTGTTGTGAACTGTTACCAAAACTGAGCTAAAGATCATGTGAGAGAATGAGTCAGAAACAGATGAGTCACCAGAAAAGATGAATCAACTCACTTAGAGCAGCTGAAACTGTGCTCAGTGAAAACACTGGTAAAGCCTGTCTGTGTGTTTGTTCAGTTATTTGTCATGTTAACAAAGTATCTCATGGACCACTGGACAGATTTTAATGAAACTATGCAGTTGTTGGGTGTATCAGAGATGGACAGGAAGCCGAGTACAGAGAGCTGGTGGACCACTTTATGGCATGGTGTGTGAACAATCATCTCATCTTGAATGTGAACAAAACAAAGGAGATGATTGTAGATTTCAGGAGAAATAGGGCTAGATCAAACCCTGTTTCCATCATGGGAGAAGAAGTGGAGGTGGTTGTGGAATATAAATACCTCGGTAMCTTATCTCCAGTTCCAGGAGCGGAGCTATGCTTTTTTGCAAGGKGTGGCACAGGAATGACCAAGGTTTGGATTTTTCGAAAAATATTTGATGCGCAAAAAGGGAGATGGAAACACATTTTCCGAATAAGTTCTGATGTAGCAAACATTTACCTCACAGGATTGATCAGCTGCGAGTGCAGCTGCAGGTGGACCCACCTTCCACTGTCTGCATCTTCTCAGATATTCCCATAATGCAAAGAGAATTGAAATGATTTTACTACATCTCCAGACAACATGTAACATCGCCAAAACTAGTTGCTATGACAGAATTATAACTATCCCGATAATAGCTATATCATAGCTATACGATAATAATCCCGAACACGTTCCTGATAAATTTTCTCCATTGTCCTGAAATGTGTATCCCTGCAAGTTTGCAACTTCTATTTCTATTTCTTGTTTACTACAGCCATGCATAATGTCAACATCTGACATAATTACTTTGTGTAGCCTGGTTGATTCACTCCAAGCCAGTTGATGGAAACACGACTGATTCGCATTTCTTCTTTTTTTCCCCCTTTTTTTGTGACATTTTAAAAGTTTGTTCAAAATTAAAATTAAAATTGGACAGAAGCAGCTATTGAGTTGAAATTGTGTGTGRTAGTAGCTAAGAATAACCTAAACATGTGGAATGCTTGAGAAGTTTCAATCTGGTTTCCGTAGGCAYCACAGTACTGAAACTGCCTTACTGAGGGTAGTGAACGATATTAGAATGAACTCGGATTCTGGTTGCTGTTCAGTCTTGGTTTTGTTAGACCTCGCAGCAGCATTTGATACGGTTGATCACAGTGTTCTAATTAATCACCTGCAATATTCTGTGGGTGTGAATAGAACTGCTCTAAACTGTTTTAAATCATATTTAAAATAGAGTTTCTTCTGTGTATCAAATCCTCTAATTTTGTGAAACTTACTTGTGGTGTTCCTCAAGGCTCCATTCTTGGCCCACTACTATTTTCTACTTACATGTTACCTCTTGATAAAATTGTTTGCAAGCAAAATATCTCTTTTCACATTTATGCAGGTGATAACCAAATATATTTATCCATTGATCCATCTGATCTGTCTGCTTTAAACATACAAAGTTCATGTCTAACTGCTATTAAGGTCTGGATGTCTGATAACAATTTATTGTTAAACAAGAACAATGGTTTTTGGTCCCAAGGCTCGTAGAGACCCTATAATTAGAATTTTTAATTTTTCTTCTTTCCATGGGGCTAGAAACCTTGGGGTGGTTTTAGATTTGGATCTGAGCTTCACAAAACATTTAATAATAGTATTAAAACTGTCTTGAATCAAATCAGGAATATTGCCAAAATAAGATCAATGATCTCTTTTGCGGATGCTAAAACCCTCATTCACACTTTTGTTTCTTGTCATCTTGATTACTGCAATTCTTTGCTGGTCTGCCTAAAAAAAATCCTCCAATTAGTACAGGATACAGCGGCTAGAGTCCTCAGTAGAACCCAGAAACATGATCATATTACACCAGTTCTTGCCTCTTTACACTGGCTACCTGTGGTGTTTATTGATTTCAAGATTGTATTGTTAGTTTTTAAATCATTGAATGGACTTGCACCATTATATATTACTGAGTTACTTACACCTTACACCCCCCGTGACCTCTGAGATCATCTGATCAGTCGCAGARCAAGATTACAGACAGTGTTATCGAGCCTTTTCCATTAGGGCTCCTCATTTATGGAATGCACTGCTACTGAACATTAGACAAGCCTTTTCATTGTCCTCTTTTAAAAACATATTTTTATTGCATGTTTTGTTATTTTTGCTATGTATTATATGTGTTTTGATTTTCCTATGTGATGTAAAGCACTTTGTAACTGTGTTTTGAAAGGTGCTATACAAATAAATTCATTATTATTATTATTATTATTATTATTATTATTATTATTATTATTATTATTATTATTATTATTATTATTATTATTATTATTATTATTATTATTATTATTATTATTATTATTATTATTATTATTATTATTATTATTATTATGCCATTATAGACACAGAAAGCTGAGGGAAAAGAAGTAGCCAAAAGCAGTCTTTACCAAATTTTAAATGCTAATCAAAAGATTAGATAGCTGCCCCAGACAACTTTAAAAGCATATCATTCAGTCATTTTAAGATTTAGTGAAATTAAATTTGTTGCAGAGTAGCTAAGAATGATCACATACTGATCGTCTATGCTAATCCCAAATTACTCCAACCAATAACGCTTATGCTAATTTGACAAAGGGCTATAATTCAGCCACTTTTAAACATACACAGCTACATATACAATACAATAGTGTCAGAGAATAATCTTAAACCCTGATCCATGTAGGGAGATATATCATGTGCCCCATTTCATGGTGTGTTAGGAGAATTGAACCCAAAGTACATATTTCCATATGCAGTCTCTGCAGGTTGGCCTGAGGCCATCCTTGTTTGATGATTTCATCAGTCGAAGGGTCGCCTTTATTTGCATCTTCATTGCATTATTTTCTAGTGATTTTATAGCCTAACCCTGACCCTAAAATTAATCTCACAGGTACCTCTACCTGACCCTAAAACTAACCTAAACTTAACTCACACCTTGGTGCTAAACTGAACCCCCCACCTGAAATTAGCATCTGTRCCTAGTCCCCACGATGCACATACGGTTCCCACGAGGTGACCTTTTTCTGGAAAATGGTTCATTCCTGGACACCATGAAGTAGCAAAAACATGTCCACATACACACCTAGAAGACATCTTCTTGATGTTGCACAGAGATCATGTTTGCCAGTGTTGCCCCATCAAACTGAAAGCAAGTATGAAAGTGTTTGTGAATCCCCTTCATATTAAATATCGGGCACAAACACTGTTACAGTCACACACCTCCTGACTGGTTCAGAAACCTGATCACTGGCCTGTTGCTTACTGACATATATTTATGGATCAAAGTTTTGCAATCAGTCTGTTTACCACCCAGTTACAAATGACAAGCCAGATGTAAACATGTTTTGTCTGTGAAGGACCTACATAATTTATATATGTGTGAAATCATATAAATCCACATTTTACTCATAAAGGAACATAGCAAATATATCAAATGTTTACATGAAGAAATTGTGCACGTTTTAGAAAAAGGGTCATTTTGAATTTGATTGGAGCAAGCCATCTCACAAGGATGGAACACAGGTGCCAAAAGGCTTTAAAAGTATGGTTTAYGAATACGAAACATCTGAAAGGAGGAATTTGCAATGAATAAAACAGCAGTCATTAAGACTAGAGGTCAGTAAGAGAACTGGATATGATAGGATTTTAAAAGAGCCTGAATCAACATTAAAGATGAGCAGAGGTTCACCAGTCTGCAAAACAAAACAAACAAACAAACAAAAAAACAACTCTTATCTGAATAAAGTGGAATAATTTTAGCCATATTCATGAATTGTGTCTTCTATTTTGCTGATTTGACTTAAGCAATCTTCTGCGCACACCTTCATTAAATCAGCTTTGCGCATGCTGACAAGTTTTTGTATATGCAAAACTAGATCAGATCCAGAGTGTGGCTAAACACCGACAAAAGTGCCAGAAACCAAACACTAGAAAACAAAACAGCAGTACCAAAAAAGGAACTAAACCTAACAGTAAACAAAAACGGAACAACAAAAAATAACCAAAATGCACAGAGAATTGGCTGCTTTTATCTGATTTTTTTTAGATCAATTTTATATTGTGATACGTAAATATAACAAGGTGTTCATTCTTAGTGACTTTATTATAGCATCTTTAAAAACAATAGAACTATGAAGGCTGTTAAAAGAAATTTCTCCTTTCTTTCTCCTGTCAAATAAGAGACAGTATGTCTGTATGAATTTGTTTATAAAGCTTAATAAATAGTCTTATTTGTTTGTCTGCCTTGAATTAAAAATGTCTTTATTTTTTTCCTGTCTTGTCATTTAGCTAGGTGATATTGATGGTAGAATTGAAGCCTTGATGTGTCAGACTTCAGACACAGAGGCCCTGCAGCCTCCCATCATTGCTCCTGAGGATCCCTGTCCTGGTCTGGAACTCCAGTGGCAAGATCTGCTGGACATCCTGCAGCCAGAGGTGAGAGGCAAATCACAAGAAAATAATGATTTGCCATATAACATGAAATAATGCAACAAAGATTTTTATTTTATTTTATGTACTTTAAGAACACCAATGCAGAAATGATGACATCATTTAACCCCACCATGGACTTGAGAACATCTGGGCCATTTCAGGATGTTGAGTCTGATGCTTTGCCCCAACTCTTAAAGAGCCTGGGCTGTGTTGTACCACAGTCTCATCAGCTGGACCCTCAACTCCAACATGGTAATTCACTTCAGCAGCTTGTTTCTGTAATCTGATCACCATGTGATGATGACCATGTTGTAATTAGTCTGCAATAATTGGTTAAACAAAATTAGGCAGGTGCATAAATTTGGGCACTGTTTTCATTTTATTGATTTCAAAACCTTTAGAACTAATTATTGGAACTCTGGAGCATTGGACCCTAAACACTGCTCAAAATCTTCCAAGGCATTCATGCAGAGGAAGAAGTACAACTTTCTGGAATGACCGCCTCAGTCCCCAGATCTGAATATTATTGAAAATCTGTGGTGTCACTTAAAGAGAGCTGTCCATGCTCAGAACCCATCAAACCTGAATGAACTAGAGATGTTTTGTAAAGAAGAGTGGTCTAAAATACCTTCAGTCACAATATAGACTCTCATTAGAAGCTATAGGAAGCGGTTATTTCTGCGAAAGGAGGATCTACTTAATAATTTTTTTATGGTGCCCAAATTTATGCACCTGCCTAATTTTGTTTAACCAATTATTGCACACTTTCTGTAAATCATATCAACTTCATTTCACTTCTCAAATATCACTGTTTGTCCCCTATATGATATATTTAACAGATATTTTTTATCCAAACAATCAATGATTTATAAAGGTAAATCAGGAAAATTAACAAAGCTGCCCAAACTTTCTCACCCCACTGTATGCAGCACTTGCACAGTTTGACCTGGATATGTACCGGGTTTGTGCCTAGACTTTACAAGGGCTTGTTAATTACAGGGTATGTACTGGGTACATAWTTGAGACAATCAGGGAGCTTTGTCCTGTAGATAGTTTGAGAGCAGCTAACACCAGACCTGCATTCTGACTTTAAATCATAACAGGGCAGGCAGTTCAGCAGGTGACTTAGTTAGTTAGTTAGTTTATTCATTCCTTTCTTCAAAAACAACAACATAAATTCAACATACAACAAAATAAATTACAAATCATAAATTAAATGAAAAGTAGCAGAAGGGTAACATTATTGGTGCTGATGTTACATTATCTTGGAAAAATATGACAAGCTGAACTTTCAGCTCAATGGTGAGTGTGTACAAAAAAGCTAGACAGCATCTTCATCTCCTAGGTAAGCTGAGGAGCTTTAATGCCAGCAAACACACCTGCAACTGGTGTACAGGTCACTTGTTGAAAGGGTTTTCTCCTTTAAATGTTGTCTCATAGTATGACAACCTCATAGTCCTAACACTAAACCAGTACAGATGGCTTGTTGACTAGGTTCTGCAAAAATGCAATTCATGTCGCATGGGTGGCTGTGGCAGAGTGGATAGGGGAGTCGCCTTGGAACCGGTAGGTCTCCGGTTTGATCCCCTGTTCCAGCTGTTTCAGTTGTGGTGTCCTTGGGCAAGACACTTCACCCTCACTGCCTCTGATGTGCCCCATCAGTGTATGAATGTGGTTTAAATCACTGATTAGTCTCCATAGATGATTTGTTAACAATGCTTTTNGTGCCCAAATTTATGCACCTGCCTAATTTTGTTTAACCAATTATTGCACACTTTCTGTAAATCATATCAACTTCATTTCACTTCTCAAATATCACTGTTTGTCCCCTATATGATATATTTAACAGATATTTTTTATCCAAACAATCAATGATTTATAAAGGTAAATCAGGAAAATTAACAAAGCTGCCCAAACTTTCTCACCCCACTGTATGCAGCACTTGCACAGTTTGACCTGGATATGTACCGGGTTTGTGCCTAGACTTTACAAGGGCTTGTTAATTACAGGGTATGTACTGGGTACATAATTGAGACAATCAGGGAGCTTTGTCCTGTAGATAGTTTGAGAGCAGCTAACACCAGACCTGCATTCTGACTTTAAATCATAACAGGGCAGGCAGTTCAGCAGGTGACTTAGTTAGTTAGTTAGTTTATTCATTCCTTTCTTCAAAAACAACAACATAAATTCAACATACAACAAAATAAATTACAAATCATAAATTAAATGAAAAGTAGCAGAAGGGTAACATTATTGGTGCTGATGTTACATTATCTTGGAAAAATATGACAAGCTGAACTTTCAGCTCAATGGTGAGTGTGTACAAAAAAGCTAGACAGCATCTTCATCTCCTAGGTAAGCTGAGGAGCTTTAATGCCAGCAAACACACCTGCAACTGGTGTACAGGTCACTTGTTGAAAGGGTTTTCTCCTTTAAATGTTGTCTCATAGTATGACAACCTCATAGTCCTAACACTAAACCAGTACAGATGGCTTGTTGACTAGGTTCTGCAAAAATGCAATTCATGTCGCATGGGTGGCTGTGGCAGAGTGGATAGGGGAGTCGCCTTGGAACCGGTAGGTCTCCGGTTTGATCCCCTGTTCCAGCTGTTTCAGTTGTGGTGTCCTTGGGCAAGACACTTCACCCTCACTGCCTCTGATGTGCCCCATCAGTGTATGAATGTGGTTTAAATCACTGATTAGTCTCCATAGATGATTTGTTAACAATGCTTTTAAGTTTATTTAATACATTGTTGAATGGATTATGTGTTGTTTTTATTAGCTGGATGTCAACGATAAGATTTCTTGATTTGTTATGGACAAAAACAATATTGATTGCTTGACGGTCACATCTGTGTTTTCTTATTTTTAATCAATGTACCTTAATTTCACCCTATTTGCATGTATGTTTGTGTGTCTAGGTTTGTTGGATACTCTAAACCCATCAGAGCTTCAGCCAGGCCTGCTTCCTCTGGTTCCCAGCACAGAGCTGGATGACCACAGCCCCACACCAAACTCAAGGGTCATTTTGGGAAACTCTGGTCCATATTCTTTAAACACTCCTTCAAACTACACAGAACTGCTCGCAGACGATTCAGACTTTGCTTTGGAAGTGAATAACTTAACCTTTTTCAACATGAATCTGTTAACACAAGAAGATAAACTGGAGTCTACAAACCTTTCTGATTTTGGAGTTAACTTTCCATCATGTGACCTCCCAGCTCCATGTATTCGCCAAAGGAATGATTTGACCCAAGACTTAATGGTTTCTCCTTCCAATGCTTTTCTGCTGCCTGAGGATGAAGACGATCTTCCTAGCCCACTTACCGACCTTTTCGAGGATCCCAACATCTTAGAAGGCATACGACTGTTAGACATAGAGGGAGGACTCAGTCCTGAGGTGGAAGAGGAATACTCTGATGGTGAAACTTTCCGACAGGAAGCTGGTGGAGATCAGAGGCCACCGAGTCAAAAAGAAGGTAATTGTCACTGCTGAAAGGTGATTTTGTCTCTGTCGGTGTGTTTATCTTTAAGCTAAGTATCTCATCAACCACTGTGCAAGTTTTAATACAACTTGCAAGAAGTAAGCATTGATGCACCCTAGGGCTGCACGGTATATGTGGTAGATGGTAGAAACGGTATGAAGTTGGCCTACGGTAGAAATTTATACTCTACTGTCAAATTGTCAGTTACGTCATCGCACCTATGTCAGCATGTCTGCGAGTGCAGAGATAACTGAGCAGAAGTTTGAAATATAATGAATTCTAGCGTTTTAAAACACGTATAGAGAGAATAAATCCTCAAAATTTCCTCCTCCCACTGTAGAAAAGTTACATCATGTCACGGGATCATTTCCTCCCTCCCTCCCTCTCTTCTCCTCTCTCCTCCAGCTGCACAATCGTGCAGAGCAAAGCTTTAACAACTGTAGTTTTTCACACCCAGTTGTTGGAGAAAAAAAGTTTTTATGTATTGTTACCCACAGAGATTATAAAAAAAGACGTGGWCGTTCGTTCAGTCGTAAATCCATCTTGCCAATGTAAAGTCGGCTTCTGCTCTGATGATGAAGATGAGTGCGCAGCAGAGCAGCAGCTGATAAGTTCGGTGGGCAGAAGCTCTGTTTGGCAGGCAGATATTAAAGGGGGCCTATTATGCAAAATTCACTTTTTAAAGGTTTTTTATACTTAACTTTGGGTATGTACTTCTTTAAAAAACAGTCCTAGGACCAAAAAAATGCACCGAGGGGCATATTTACTGWAAATAAATGTACTTTTAATGTATATTAACAACAAGTTTTATACTTCCGTCATTTTGTGACGTCACAAGCCGTACGACAACCCACCAGAACCTGTGTTCAGCCCCTTACTTAGCAACCCCCGGGTGAAGCTCCACCTCCTCAGTATAAAAAGCCGTCACGGTTGTTGTTGTGCAATGTGCAGCTCGTCTCACAACAAGCCTTCAATAGGGTAATGGGTAGAGTGTTGGACCAGAGAGTGGGAGACCAGGGTTYGAGACTGGAACAGACTCAATTTAATTATTTATTTTCATTCGTTATGAACACGTTTTCTCATGTACCTCTATTGTTTAGATTATTAAAGCCTTGTTAAAGCCTATTTGTTCGAGTTTCTGAGGTATTTTGACCGCTGCTGCTCCCTACCCTGGTAACAGAGCGCAGAGCAGAGGAGGGGGAGAAAAAAAAAAGAAGCTGGGACCATGACTCTGCCTCTGGGTCTGACTCAGGGTATACAGTTGTACAACAGAGCTTCTACTATTACTAGCCATGCTAACGTAAATGCTGGCTTTAGAGGGCGGAGTTAATGTCAACAGATTTTTGGAGGGCGGAGTTAATGTCAACAGATTTTTGGAGGGCGGAGTTAATGTCAACAGATTTTTGGAGGGCGTTACCAACAGAGCTCATTAACATAAACAGCTCTTCTGAA